GGGTGGAGTCAGGGAGCTCTCCAAGGCTTGCTTGCTGAAACCTGGCTCCAGGTTGAACTAGAGACCCTGTCTCAAAGCATATGACAAAGAACAGTATAGCAGGCCATCCAGCTGCCTCTTCTGGCCTCTGTGTGCACATATGCGTGCATGCACACACACACGCATATACACACATGTAGCACATATATGCCACACAGACACATAGAGAGAGAAGAGAGTAAACGTGGGGATCATGAATGGGCTATTCACATTCATGCATGACAAATACAGCAGGTCACACTGTTGTGGGGGAGGGCCGCTTCACTTCCTATGACCAGGGGTAGGGGTGTCATCTGTCCTTGCTGTGTCTCAGACAACAATAGCTTCCAAATAAGGGTGTAGCAAGGAATTACCTCTTGGAAATTATCTTTAAAAAGGATTTGGAGCCAAGTGGTGGTGACACATGCCTTTAATCCCAGCACTTGGGAGGCAGAGGCAGGTGGATCTCTGTGAGTTGAGGCCAGCCTGGTCTACAGAGCGAGTTCCAGGACAGGCTCCAAAGCTACAGTGAAATCCTGCCTTAAAAAAAAAAAAAATGGAAAGAAGAAGTCATAACAGAATTCCTTTGTATATGTGTGTGTTCATTTGTTTGTGTGAGTGCACGTGTGTGTCTGTGTGTGTGTGTAAGTCTGTGTAAGTGTACATGTGTGTCCGTGTCCGTGTGTCTATATACACATGTGGCAGAGGTAGAGGTGGGGTTTCTTTCTCCATCACTCTACACCTTAGTTGTTTTAAAGGCAAAAACCAAGGTCTCGTTGAGCAGAAGCAATGTCTCAGCCCTAAAAATGGCCTCTTGCTGCCAAGCCTGATGCCCTGAGTTTGACCCCCAGGGTGCAGGTGGTGGAAGGAAAGACTGACTCCCAAAAGAAAGCTGTCTCCTGACCTCCACATGCCTGCTGCGGTGTGTGGCGCACCTGCACACGCATACATACACACTAATTAGTTCATTAATCTTTCAAGTTAAGGAAAGGCCACAGGACAGACCTCCAGGCCCTGTCCTCTTTTAAACATTTTCTGGACTTTCAAAGCTTCCTCAGCACCCAGCATTCTTCTCCGTGAACGGAGCCTCTTTTATCGCCTGCGTGTGTCTTTGGAAATGACAACAAGATAAAAGGAAGGAATAGAAAAGAACGAAGATGTCCCCCTGAGAATTCAGACAGACAAGTGTGGCGGAGACCAGCTGAGACCCCGGAGGAACCTTAGTCCACCACACAGCGCGCCTCCAACACACTAAAGGGTCCTCTTTTGTTTACCGTTTCGTTTTTGTCTTTTTTTTTTTTTTAACAAGACCTCCTGTGCTCCAGGCTGGCCTCGAGCTCACTACACAGCCAAGGATGGCTTTTATTGAACTTGCTCCTCTGCCTCCTGATGCTGGGGTGACAGGCATGTGTCACGACATCTGGTGTATGCAGTGCTGGGGTCAGGCCAGGGCTTCCTGCCCATTAGGAAGGTTCTACCAGCTGAGTCCCACTCCCAGGCTGCTTTCTCGCTTTTCTGACTTGGATCATTCTGTAAAGGCCGCCGGAGAGAGGCTTCCAGGGGGCAGGACTTGGACCCACCCAGACCACCTGATACCCACTTCCCGAGCACCAAGGGCCAAGGCTGGTTTTGATACATCCAAAGCCTCCCAGGGTGCACAACGCACTTATAAAGTCACAGACCTCGGCAGTTTTGGAAGCCTCCCCTCTCTTCAGAAAGACCTATGGCCTCCTTTGCTCGGGCCTCACCACCATAAAAAGAAATAAAGGTGGGCGAAAGGCTGCCGAGTTCCCATGGAGACCATGCCCAGCAGGGATGAAAAGCAGAATCAGATACAGAGGGAAGATGTATGCCCTCTCGCCTACTTCCCGTGGGGATCATTCTAGAATCAAAGTCATCCTGAGTAGTAAGAGCTCTCAAGGAGGAAAAGAAAAACAAACAGAAAACATACATTCACGCTTGATATATAGGTACTTGTATGTGTGTATGTGTGTGCGTGCGTGTGTGTGGTCATTTGTGTATGTGGGTATATATATGTCTGTGCAGGCATATATATGTGTGTACATTCATTTATATGCGTGTGTATGTATGTGTGTGGTCATTTGTGTATGTGGGTATATATATGTCTGTGCACGTGTATATATGTGTGTACATTCATTTACATGTGTGTGTATGTATTCATGGGTGTGAACGAGCCCTCCAAAAGCTACCCTGATTCTTTCACCACACCACATTTCTCAATCTGTTCTCTTTGAAGTCCATCAATTTCTCCTTTCTGATGCTGGTCACAGCTCATTAAATTGGTATCACCATCTACTAATGGCTCCTAACCTCAGACTTCAAAGCATGAACATATTCCCACTTTTTGGTCCACCAAACAGGAGAGAAGAGCCTCCCCAGGGTCAAAGCCACGATCCCAAGGTTACTTCCTGGCAGAAGCCAGGACCAGCTTAGAACATGCAAAAGTGTGGGCTGATGTTACCCACCGAGTCTCACTGTTAGAACTCAGTGACCACAATCCCTCCCTTCACGGCTTCCTTGGAGTGACTCTTGGGGTCCCTGGAGGTAGCCAGGAACCTGTCTCCTTAAGGATCTCATTGACCCAGACAGAAGACCATCATAAGCAGAGTTTAGCCCCGTAGGTCCTGATGTGGAAACCCAGAACCATGGAAGCTGACTGGGTCCTTGAGGAAGGAGAGAAAGAGGCTGGCCTTGAAAACACAGCCTCACATGTACATAAAATGCATAGGTCGGGGCTAGAGAGATGGCTCAGTGGTTAAGGGCACTGATTGCTCTTCCAGAGAGGACTTGTATTCAATTCCCAGCAACCACATGGCAACACAAACCATCGAGAGTGGGATCTGATGCCCTCTTCTGGCATAAAGGCATACATGCAGAAAAAGCCCTCAGATACATAAAATAAACAAATACATTTTTTTTTTCAAAAATTGCCATAGGGACTGAACGAGGACGCGATCCAACCAGATTCTCTGAATGTGGCCGGATTCTCTGAATGTGGCTGGCCAGGAGTCTTTCTGAAAAGCCATTGACAATGACACTGGGACTTGTTTCCTCTGCATATACTGGATTTTGCGGATCCAGTCTGTCTGGACACTCACCTTCCTGGACCTGGAGGGAGGGGGGAGGAACTTGAACTTCCCACAGGGCAGGAAACCCTGACTGCTCTTAGGGATGGAGAGGGAGGAGAGGGATTGGAGTGAGTGGGAGGGTGGTGGGAGGAGGGGCGGAAATGGAAACTTTTATAATTTAATAAAATTACTTTCAAAAAAAATGCCATAGGGTCTACTGGTGCCCCCCACCCCTAGACCAAGAACTACAGACAACTGAGGATGCTGAGAGCAGAAGAAATAGTCTTCCCTGGGGAAGAGCACGCCAATTGGTTATCCAATACCAGATTGCAGCTTTTTTGGTTGTTGAGCAATGACAACTCAAACCCCTGCACCTGGCACAGTCAAACCATTATAGTGTCTGGACCTTCACAGTTTGTGACCTGCTGGATGACAGGAGCCGAACTCTCTTGTTTGTGGCAAAATGAACTTAACATTAAAATTACTTATCTGAAGCAGTTTTTAACATCACCTCAAAGGTGTTAAAATAGCTTCATGGGTTGTGTAAACGACACCACCAACCATCACCAGAGAATTTCCTCATCCCAAATTTTGTACCCATTGAATAACAGCACCCTGTTTCTCTCTCTCTAACTCCATCTACCACATCTACTTCCTGTCTATAGACTCAACTCCGTTATGGCATAGTAGACATCAGAATGGCCTCCCTCTGACAGCTGGAGCCTATTTCCCCGTATGGAGAGGTCCCGCCTCACAGGCTCACACGCCTGCTGAGTGGTCGTCTCGGTCATGAGTGATGTTGTTCTTCCTAACGCTCTCTGCCATGTGCCCAGCCCCCACATCCACAGGGCCTTCTGCCCACTCCCCTCGGCTCCCTCCCACCTTCACCCAAAAGGAGCCTGGATGTCAAAGACCTCATAAAGAACAAAGGACTCCTGAATAACCACATTTTACATTGATGCTAAGTAGGGATGATAATTATTTTGGTTGACTTGTATAACTTATTTTTTTAACTCATTTTAATATGTCTACTGGATACTTCCGGGCCACCATGTACTTTTCCCTCTTTCTAGGGCCAGCAGGAGGGTCACCCTGCAGGGGTCCACAAACTTCTCCAGCCTCTATCCAGAGGATAAGTATTTCTAATTCAGTGGGCCATACCCAATGCTGCCACTGTTCCCCAAAAGAACTCCCAGACAACACTACAGGGTGGTTCGGCTGTGTCCCAGTGAGTCTTATCTACTAACACGGTCACAGCTTCAATTTAGCCCCAAGTCGTGATATGCCCTACCAACATTCAGAAATATTAAAGGCCATCGTGTCTAGAGCAATTGCCAGCTCTAGAAAATTCACCCAACCTACTTTCTCGGAACACAAAGCGCAAAGACACCTTCCCTTAACTAGACCCACAGACACAAGACTGTTTGCTTCTGACTTTTCCAGAGAACCCGTTCCTGGGGTTCAGCCACCCTCGAGCACCCACTGACCCCACTCACTTAGGCGTGTTGGCCTCATCTACACGGTTCCCGAGCTGGAACTCATGGGATTTACTCCTGTGCAGCGCCGTGAAGCCGGGGATCAGATGGATAAGTTTCCGAGAGGAGGGTGGTGGCGTCCCTGGAGGCTTCAGCTTGTTTTTTCTCCTCATGGGTGGTGTGCCAGGAGGGGTCACGGTGGTGACAATATTTGGGGTACGAGGTGGGGTGCGAACTGCGTGCCGCTGCCGGGGTGACGGGGGCAAGGAGCGGTGGCCTGATTCCAGAAGTGGCGGCGGGCACAAGCTCTGGTAGGCATCCACAGTGAGTCTGTCCACGTGGGTGTACACGGGGGCTCCAGGCGTAGGGCTGCTGTGACAGAAGGGCTGGACACATTTGGACTGGACCCTGGGGCTCTGGGAGAGGGGGGTGCGGATCCACGAGCTGGGCTCCGGGGGGCACACAGGGTTGTTGTCCTGCCCTGGCTCCGTGGTGGGCCACTGGATGATCCAGTCTTGTTTGGAGAGATTCCCTCCTGAGAAGGAGAAAAGGAACAGAGAGACGCAGGTAAGGAAGGGGAAGGGGTAGGCTTGCGGTGGGCAGAGAGCCACCAGCTCTTTACCGCGCACGCGTCACTCCATGCATATCTTACGTCACCGTAGACGAGTCCTTACGTCTCAGAGATCTTACATCCCACAGAGAGGCAGGTAAGCCAGAAGAAAGGAGGTAGCATCGCATGGGCGGGGGTCCGCCATCCTCACCTTACCACACATGCATCACACCATGGGCAGGTTACACTCAACACAATGTATCATATGTACCTTACATATCCTTTCACATGCCGTGCCACAACACACACCTGACCACACATGCAGGTTACATCGTGTGCACACAATACAGTGTGAAGCCCAGGTCATCTGCACCCTATGTGGTATACAGCTCATGTTACATGAGACCACCTCATTGGTGTGGTGTACCATGTTGCACCAAACGCACCTTCCAACATTATGTACCCTACACAATGTGCACGCGATGGCACCTGCATACTGAGCAAATGATACACATGTTGCCTCCATGTACCCGAGGCCACACACACCTCATGCTATGTGCACACACTTCCTGTATACCTTATACCATGTATCTATCACCTCAATGTACCACACAGTGTTGACCATCTTGGGTGTGTTTTCATATATACATACTCCATGCTGTGTATGCAATGCATCACAAACACCTCATTGTATGTACACACCTCATGCCATGTATACTGCATCATACATACCTCATATCCTAAGGACCTCACACAGCATACATGGTCCATGGTAGCATGCTGCACCACACACCACATCATAAACACATCAGACCACACCACATTAAAGCAATGCACATGTCACATCAGGTACACCTTACCCCGTACACACACGGTCAATAATTACATTATAGCATAGGAATGTTCCATCAGGTGCACATCATTAGAGCATGCACACAGACCTCATGTTCACTATGTCATATCACAATACCGTGTGCTCATCATACCACAGGCATGTTAGTACACACATATGCTGCATTGCAGGCACATTTATAATTGTCCAATCACACCACTTGGCCCTCACAAACATAATCAAAATTTCCTTGTTTGCCTTCTTGCTTTCTCCCCACTTCCACTGCTTTGTGGCTGCGAAGCCCACACCCCGAAGACTTTGCAAAGCAGAGCGATTAGGCCATGACTTTTCTGAGTCCCAATATCCAACCATGTCAGGGTGCTTTAAAAGATTACCAAGGATAACGCTCACCTATTGTCTTAGTTAGGGTTTCTGTTGCTGTGAAGAGACACCCTGACCACAGAAACCCTTATAAGGGCATTTAGTTGGGTGGCTTACAGTTCAGAGGGTCAGTCCATTATCATCATGGTGGGGCAAGGTGGTATGCAGGCAGACGTGGTGCTGGAGAGGTAGCTGGGGGTTTTACATCTTGTTCAGACAGCACCAACTGAACTGTGCATAGCTTGAGCAAAGGAGACCTCGGAACCCCCTGCCCCCAGTAACACACTTCCTCCAACAAGGCCACACCTATTGCAACCAGGCCATACCTCCAAATGGTGCCATTCCCTATGAACTGGTGGGAGCCAATTACATTCAAACTACCACACCTGTGGAACAATCTTAACACCTGACTCCGACATGGACACGGACTAGATGGACAAGCAGACACGTGGAAGCCCTTCTCGTGGTTAAAGGAGGGAAGCAGAGTGTGTGACATTCAGTGACGGGGAGGGCCTCAGCAGACGGTACACACAAACCACGGACACAGCACTGCTGCCCGAGGGAGCCGAGTACCCACGCACAGAGCTCAGGCGGTCTCCAGGGATACAAGTGAACTAACGCCAAAGGGCTCACTCTCAGACTCCATTTCCACAACCTCACAGAGAACAACATCTTAGACATAATTGGCAGATGTCAGGGGTGGGGGATGAGGGGGTGGGAGGAAGTGGATGTGGCCAGAAGATAGCAACACAAGAGATGTATGTCATTTGTTATTTTGACAGTGGTGTAGACACACATGTCCAGCTGTGGGGCATTATACAGCTCCAAATTCATGTTCATCCTCAAACACACGTGCATGCATGCATGCACAAAACGCTGGACACATCTGGGCAAGATCACTGCACTGTATCTGGATCAATACCCTGGCTGCGATTCTATCACGTTAGCAAGATGTGACTATTAAGAGGAACGGAGAGAAGCCTTTCAGGTACCCTGCGATCTTTCCTTACAACTGTATGTGGATCCACATGTACCCCAATGACATTCTTCAGTTAGCCCCAGTGACACAGCAACTCCCTGTACTAGATCACCCCAAAAAAGCAAACAGTTCAGTTAAGAAACTGGAGGGCTTGGGATGAGACTCGATGGTAGTGCTCTTACCTAGGATGTTTGAGGCCCTGGGTTTGATCCCCAACACCATAGAAACAGGAAGGGGGAAGGAGGGAAGGAAGAAAGGAAGGAAGGAAGGAAGGAAGGAAGGAAGGAAGGAAGGAAGGAAG